CTCTTGAGAGCAAAAGCTTACTATGCAAGCCTCATGCATCTCTTCTGCTTTCACTGCTTCAGTCATTCAGACAATTGAATTTATTTATTATTATTCCAGGAACTTTCCTTTCTGTTCTGCTGAGCAGTTTTATGGCTTTATACCCAATAAAAACTACTGTGTACACTTAACTCTGGGAACAGGCTAGAGCTATTTACTCAAGCAGAAAAGTATTGTATTAGGGTGAGATATCCCCTGTGAAGATAGGAAAGGAGTCTTGCTGGCTTTAAGTAAGGCATAAAGATATTTTAACAATGTTGTATTGTGAATACATTGTGAAACAAAGTATTTTGTATTGTAAATACATTGTGAGACTGTGTTTTGTATTCTGTCTCTGCTGATGACTTCAAGGAAATCACCTTAACCTTCAAATGCAGAGAGCAAGATTGTCAGTGTGCTGTAAGGCTGCACACACAGGTGCTAAATATCTCAGTCTGAATGCCATCAGGAGTAGGGGTTCTTTAGTACAAAGTTTCAGTTCAGGTATGATGTCACTGGAGGATATGCCTCGTAATTCTGTGGAGAACCATGTCAATTTAAATATTTATTTATTCTGGATTTTTTTTTCTTTTCCTTCTTTATGGGAATTCTTCCTTGTTTGATTTTTCAAAGACTATTTGTGTAGTTTCTGACCAAAGCCCCACTGGCTGATCTGCTATCAGCTCACTGTGGCGTTGGTGCTCCTCACATACTGGAAAGATGCTGGCTGGGCAGGATGTTAGGGACACGAGAGAAAGGATTCTTATATGAAGAAAACTGGTGGAAAACACCTCTCTTTTGTGTCTGTGCCACCTGGAAGGGTTGCTCAGAAAGCTTCCCTGCAGGGCATATTGTTCTAGAGTGTAGGTTCAGCTCTTCCTGTCTTCTGCCAGAAACAGAGGGATGAACAGAGTTATGTCTTAGAATAAGTTGAAGCACAACGCTTGTCTCAGCAGCAGCACAAATAATGAAGGGAAGGAAAATGAGCTTTTTTATAATGGGACAAAAGTTTTTTTTATTTATTAGTCTCATTTTTTCATTAGGGTAATTATTGTGAACTTTTAAGTTAACTTTCTGGTAGCACTTCTTAAAACTTGAATTATCTAAATTCCCTGAATCACAGATGATTAATAGCCTCACAATTTATGCTTTACCTCTGTAGAGTGAAAAAGTTTAATTAAAAAGAAGATATACAGCTGAATTAAATTTTTGAACTGCAGCTTGAAAATACTTCACAGAATACAAAGCATAAAAGAAGCATGGGGTATTGTTGCATGGCAGGCAATTGCAAGCCATACTTGCTTTGTGAAGTCAGACTTTGTCTTGCTTGGGTAATCTTGCTTTTGTACTAGGAGCAAGGTGTCTCACTCCACATGTCCACTTCTATTATGATGAGCAGAACAGTCTAGATAAGTGGAGGGTGTTCTGTTATTTTTAGCAGAGAAAATGTGATTATGTGAAATCCCATTTGTTATCATGAGAGGTTTAGAAGCCTGTTTCTGCATGATAACAGTTATGCTCTTACCAGAGGTCAGGTTGGGAGAAGGGAGATTGTGGAAATAAAGCCTAGTCTGAGCCACCACTGGAAACATACCAATAATACTGAGATTAAGCCTAGTTCTGGAGCATGCCACATTATGTATGCCATTCTTCCCTTGGTGGGTATTGAGCAAGCCTAGATGTAGCTGAAGACAAAATTATAGTGTGAGAATAACCAACTGATACCAAACTCTTCCTGCTCAGCTTGCTCAAATCAATGACACTGAACTGCTCTGAGCAGACCTCTAGATCAGAAATGTTTTTCTTTGGTGTAGTGTCAGCTTCTTCTACTGCTGTGTCTGAATGTCAAGTGGAAGATTCCCCCAAAATGTGTTCAGACTGTTGCAGCTGAGCTGTCTCTTCCTCCTGTTGTTCTCAGGTACTGGGGATGCCAAGGTGAGGTGAATGACAGACTATCCATGACCTTTTGTTGTAGACCTGTCTTGTTCTCAAATCCTGCAGCTGATCCCTCGTGCTTAGCTCCTCTGCTCTTGTTTCTGTGTTTGCTGCCTCCAGACTTTTTGGACATCCTTTTTTTGCCAAAGCTTTCAGAAAAACAATCACTCATCCTGTCTTCAGGCTGGTAAGGTTTGGTCCTGATACTCTCAGTTTGATGTTCCCTGCTTCTGATGTGAATATCTTTAATAATTTATGGATTCTTATCACCCTAACGCTGGTGTATTATGTCTGTATGTGTATTTACAAGCAATGTGAAATCACCACCTCTTTTTTTCCTGGAAATCAGAGACCCTGTGCACACTTCCTTCCCAGCTGAAATCTTGCTGCAGTCCAGACATATATTTTCCTCTGCCAGCTCTCAGCCACTCCAGCAATTGACTCCTACATAGCTCAGCAGCTGATTTATGCACCGTTAATGAGTCCCTTCTGAATCGCTCCCTTCTCTGCCTCCACCCACGTGCACTTGAAATGCCTGAGCATCCTACCCTACCCAGTTAACTCTGAGCATCAGAGTTAACTGTTCTGATGGATTGCTGTCCCCAGACATCCAGCACAGACCCAGACCACAGGGACTTGAGGCACTTTTCTGATTTGGGTAGCCCCAGCTCTGTGCTTTCGGGCTGGAGCAAGATCTGCTCTAAGTAATGAAGGACAGGGCAACACAAACCGAGCAACAATTTTTTGGGTCATGAAGCTGTCTGAAAAGTTGGCAAAAAGCCCAAAAGTAGGGCTGTCAAAGCATCAGCTACAACTCTCTTAAATGTTCCAGACTGTCTGTGCTTAACACTGAGCTTGTTTTCACCTGACAGTTAAGTGAGTTGGCCTGGTCTGAGTACAAGTGACTAAAACATGGAAAAAATTCAGCTGCAGAAATACAGGGTGGTAAACAGCAAAGAAGTTGTTGAAACTTGAATCATTGTGTCCATGTTGTACCGTATACCAAAATAACAGCACCATTCAGAATTCAGCCCTTCCCTTCATTCTTGAAGAAAGCCAGATCCACTTTCAGTGTCATCCCAAGCTGAATTAGTTACATGGGCAAATGAGAGATCTGAGTAATGTTTAACCAAATTAAAGATGCAGCAAAGGCAAATGTTTACTGTTTACTTTCCAAGGCTAATTCCTCAACTTTTCTCAAGTAAAATATGGGTTCCCAATTGCCTAGTCTCTGATTCCTCTGGTTGGATGTTCTGAAACAATTTCCTACAGACAGACCGATGCATCATTCCCTGAAACTCACAAAACCCAGGGTCTGATGCAAAACTAACTGGCATGGCATTTGGTTGCGTTGTGCCATGACTGTGCTGGTGCCACCAGCAGTTGTACAGATCCTGGACACCCTCCCACACACACCTTTACAGCAGGGCTTGTTGCTCAGGCTCTGGCGAGTCCTTTTCCTTATTGTTGTATTATTGGTAAGGATTTCAGCAGCTCTGAACCAACTCCTGCCGAAGCCAGCAAGTTCCCATTGGTTTCATAGGGACTGTAATGGTACACTTGACTGGTATAAACTTATCCCATATCAACTCTGCTAGCTACTAATAGCTCCTAGTTGCTCCCCTTCCTTGTTATGTAGAGGGGTGGTCTGACAGCGACTGGGTCTGCAAGAAATGTATGCTTAAGTCCAGGCTTCCTGTTTGGGGGGTTTGTGGGCTTTTTTCTTCTTATGGTGCATGTTTTGGGTTTTTAATACCTTATCTCAATCTGAATAAAGGATGTTAGTAGAATTCTAGGAATAGGCTGAGTGTGTGTGTACACACATACACAGAGAAAGCAAACATTGGGTGACATTTGGCTTTCCTAACCCTTGAAATCACTATAACCTGAGCAAGAAGACTTTTAAAGGAGAACTCTTGCCTTGAATATAGCTGCCTAGAATCCTCCTGCTTTTATTCATGAAAAAAGAGCAACCTGTATTTGTCTGGTATTGCTGTGGTGACCCAGTCACAGGCTGCTGAGGGAGGTACTCTTGGCTTTTACCCAGGGACAGCTGCTCTGAGTCAGTGCTGTCCCACTGGCCAGCCCCTGCCATGAACACACTGCACGGGCTCTGCCTGGGCACTACACCTACTCCACAGGCCCTTGGCTGTTCCCAGGAGGACTTTGTAAGTTGTCTTCAACTTGTGCTCCTGATTTCACCAGCTCAGCCTGAGCTTAGATCCTGCCCCACAGGGGGAAACTCCAGCTAAAAATATCTCAAATCAGAAGGAAACTACTGCTTATCAGTCTGCCCAGCCTCCTGTCCCACCCAGACCTTGTTCCACTCCCTTGGGGTTAGGGAAAATGTGGTCATTTCTAAGACAGCTCTGAAGTAAGCAGGCTTGTGTAGCAGACTGAGGAAAAGAAGACCAAGGGATGGGGGAGATGCTTCATCATGAAGAAATGCTTTACATTTGCAGTAACAGCCACCCTTCACCACGGGATTGCCTTCATTTTGTGAGAGGTTGCTCTGCAAGGACACGTCAAGGCCTGTTTGGCCCTGAGAATTCCATTCCTGGCACTCCTGAGTATGTACCCAGGCCAAAAGAGCACAAATTGGTCCCCAGAGTCAGGAGTATATAGATGCCAGCACTCTGTATAGGAGGGAAACAGAGAAAGGAAAACCAGTCTGTGGGCTTGAAAAGAGGGAAGGTGGAAGTAAAAGGAAATGCCAGAGGAAAGGACATAGCAGAGGAGATTGTGCAGGCTGAGGAGAGATTAACAGGTATTAGAAAAAAGCAAAAGACAGGGGAGAATTCAGATCAGTCCTGAGGCAAGCAGCAGGGAATGTTCTTAGCAAGGAGCATTAGGAAGTTGAACACAGATGGCAAGACAGGCAGACCTGAGAAGCTGTAAGGGCAGCATGAAGGAAAAACCTTAAAATCCAGGAATGGGAAGAAGGTGTAAAGTATATGGTCAAAGATCTAAAATAATAATACTTTCCAATTTGGATAATAATTTTCTTTATCTTGATGTTAGTAAGCTGTATATAAACTAAGCAATGGTACTGTAAGAATAATTTTATTTAATATTTTGCTAACACAATGATACATCTCAAAATTACCATAGAATTTAGCTTGCTAAATGACTGCATACATTCTAAATAGGTGCTACTAAATTTGAATAACTTCACAGAATACATGTGGCTTTATGTGACCAACAGCTATATGGTGTGTAACCCCCTGACTGACATGAGCAGTGTGGATGGATTTTGCACTAGTAGCCAATGCAGAGTTAAAGCTTTTGGAAGGGTAAAAAATTGCAAAAGACATTTTTTATTAAAATATGAATTGATGATCCTTGCTTTAAAATAACTATTCAGCTGTAGGTTACATACTTTATTTGTTTTAATAACAGCACTTACAAAGGTACAAGAAAAATTGTCTTGCTAGCATTTGATCTAATGTAGATCTCCATATGAAAATGCTGAGTATCTTATAAAGCTTTTCACAGATGTAGGCTAAGTTCTGGGATATCACAAACTTGTACATAATTCAGAAAAACACCTGAGGTTACTTCATGTGTATGCAGCAGAAAGCTGTTTTTAGCTCTAAAACTGATGATAGATGCCATATGAAGGCAGAGACTTTAAGCAGGTTCATTATTACTGTGTGTGGTTATAGAGCAGTGCTTGTAGGCTTGATTCAGGTTTTTGAAATCAGCAGCAAAGCTTGTACTTAAGATCAGGGTTGCATTGTTAAGCCAGCTCTTCCCAGTGCCACTAGGAGCTCTGTCCCTGCTGCCAGCGTGACTAAGACTGGCCATCTATCAGAAGTCACAGTGCAAATCCTCACTTGCTTAGGTCTCAGCAGAGCTACTTCACTGTGCAGCACTGTAACCTTGTTTTTCTAGCTCTACTAATACCTTATCTGGTACTCTGTTGAGCACAGCAAGTCACGTGAGGTGCTCTCATGTCTGATGGATTTCATGTGTAATTGAAGGTGATCTGCAGCTCCAAAGAAGTGCCCAACACTTTTCAAATCAGGCACTTGTGTAGGGCTGTTTGCTTTCTAGAGAAATATGCAGCTTTGTGAAACAAACTTTAGCTGGAGGTTCAACGTTATAAAGTTTCATGTGTGTTTTACTTTAAAATGAGGTATTTAAAAAAAATTATGAACTTTGCCTCACAAATATTGTAAAAGTAATTTTTGTTCAGTTAATGGGTACTTTAATTAGGACATGTAATGTTAATTTTCCTTCTGAGACTTTGTTCCAAACAAATTGTACTAAAAGTAAATAGTTGATTTTCAGATATATTATTTAACTCAACAGAATGACTGGTGAGTAGAGGTATTATTTGCTGTATGCTTTACTTGAGGCTTGTGGCATTAACATTTTAATAGAAACCCCCACAATCTCACTTCTACCTACCTTAGCCAATGTGGATTTTACTAGACTTACCTATGTGCTTAGGGACAACCATATTAACTCCTTCCTAAAGAAACAAAAAGTTCAGCTGTACCTTTAGAAATCTAATTCAAATACTTACTTTGTTCCTAAACATGCTGATGAAGAGATTAGCATATGATTTGTATCACCCTTGCCACCTAGTGACAGAAATTCTGATCTTTCAAAACTTTGTGGAAAGTTACTATATTAGGACATTCTGCTAATTTTCATATAAGACATGAATTTTAGTTTCAAACATGCTTACAAGCAAGACTTTTATTGTTTTAGGCATTTATGTAAACATTTTGGAATGCTGAAGGCAAGACTTTGCATTGCCATTTTACCAAAAATCATGTGAACATATATTATTGAGGCATTAACATACATCCCAGCAGCCAGAACAGCAGAGTTGCCATGAGCCTATGGCAGTTTCCAGCAGAGTCAATTCAGAAACAGGCTGCAATGTTCTGAGCAACTGCTTTTGTATGTTTTTTAATAAGAGATTTCATTTCTGAATGTGCAGTCACTGAAGGCAAACTTAAGAGTTAAGGCATAGCACATGGAGACATGGAAAAGATTATAGAGACAGTTCCTGGAGATGCTCCAACCAGTCAGTAGATAAAAAGCACTTTACATTGACAACTTCTGTGAACAAGCTAGAAAAGAAAAGGCTTACTTTCAAATTGCATATGTTTTATCATTTAATATATTGTTCCCCTGGCTCTCCTTCTAGAATTAAAAAGATTACTTGAATTATACCTTGTGCAACTTTTCTTCCTGCTTTTATAACGTGTAGTATTGGCTATGTACCAAAAATATCACCAGAACAAGATATGAGTTATATAAGTCTAAAAAGAGAGAGGGGGATTATCTGTAGATGCAAGGTTTATTGCTTAGGCATTTGCTGACAGCTGACTTTCACTGGCTGCTTTCTCTGCTTGCAGTCTTTGGACCGCCTGATCCAGCAAATCCATCGTATCTCTAAGCGTAACATTCAAGGTGAATGGCTTAGGTTTAATGGTCAGCCCATAGGTAAAGTCCATTTTAGGGTCCTCGTTTGGATTAGCAGTAAAATTGCACTGATGCACCAGTATGGAGGTAAAGAGAAAGAGCTGCACCTTGGACAACTCCTCTCCAATACACCGACGCTTTCCCAAGGAGAAAATCATCACGCTGCTAGTAAGATCTTTATTGATGAACCCATTCTCATCCAGGAATCTTGTTGGATCAAAATCCTCTGGGTTGGACCATTTTGCTGGGTCATGATTCACTGACCACTGATTGACAAAGATGACGGTGTCCTTGGGAATGAGGTAGCCCATGATGAAGGTGTTGGTTGTGGTGGCGTGTGGGATCGTCACAGGCACAAAGCTGCTGAAACGCATGGATTCGTACAGGAAAGCCATGATGTAGGGCAGGTGGGGCTGATCTTCAACACACGGCAGACGGTCTCTTCCAACAATCCTATCCACTTCTTCTTGCATTTTAGCCTGCACTTTCGGATACCTGTCATTTAAAACAAGATGTGTGCAGGTACATAACACTTTTGAAGAATTTTTCTTACAAATAATCCTTGCTGCAAATATTTCTCACAGAATCTCACTGCTATCCTAAATTATGCAGTTTGAGCAGAGTTTAAATGTATTGGAAAAAAGAAACCTTCCTGTGCACTGGTGTAATTTTACATTTGCTCAGTTTTTACTTTAATATCCCATATAACTGATTCTCAACATAAAAAAAAAATAACCTAAAGTGTGCTGAAAGTGAATATTCTGATCCAACTTTGAAAATTTATTCTAAAACTAGAATTACTTGTCTCTTCTAAGTGTTGCATATTCCATGGGAACAAGAATTTGATTTTCCAACTCTGTATGCGACTTTTAAAAGTTAGCATGGAGTTTGTTATCACTAGACATATTTCATCTTTGAAAGCCTTGAGGTTTCTAAGCTAGAAAAAAAAATCCCAATTATTAAATTGTCAGAATGGCTTTATGAGGTTCCCACTTTTATTTTGAGAAAACATTTTCTGATTAATATCAAATTAAGTTTTCTCAATTATGTATTTAAAGCTGTCTTGAAGTCTGGACGGTTTGGAAGTCTACACAGTAACCAAATAAGATCAAAATGTTAATACATCTTGTCTTTGCCCAGGAGACTTCATTTGCTTTAAGTATTCAAGTTTCTCTTCTGCATGCCTGCTTTTTCCTCCTGCAGCAGACTCACATGTCAAATGCTGGGCAAACATGAGAAATGGGGAGAAACCCAAAAGTTACGTGAACACTGGGGCATCACACCCTTTGCTGGAGTGTTAAATAATTGCCCGTTTTTCAAGAAGCGACTGAGTAGATAATGTTTGCATTACAAATGCCTACAAATTAAGCAGGCGATGAAAGGAAAAGCCAGGATAGGCAAGCGAGTCGGTGCAATGGCACCTTCTCTTAAACCACGTCCCGTCTCTGAGTGTCCCGGCGGACAGGCCGGTGCCAGGGCAGCGCTGCCGCCCGCTGCCCGAGGGGTCTGCCTTGCCCAGTCACGCAATGGCAAGGAAGGCACACAGCGGCAGCTCAGCATAATAGCGGGTTTGTAAAGCGGTGCACGAACTCTTTACCGCGCTTAAGCGGTTGTTATCCTGTTCCTATGATCTGCTTGATCTTGACCTGCTAAAATCTGTTACTTTCAGGTTTTACTCGGCTGCCTTTCTGCCAGCCTCTCCTTATAAACCATAACCCGACCGCCTGAGTAGGGTGGGATTTATTTTCTTTTATACTTCCTTATCTCTTCCTGGCAGGTTTCCCAGAGCTTCCGTGTTAGTTAATCGGAGGCCGCTGAGGCACCCGGCGCTGCTCGGGCTGGCGCTGCCCGGTCTCGCAGACCGCGACCCGACGGCGGGTCCCTGCCGGGGCCGCGCCCTCGGCTACACCCGGCTCGGAGCTCCATGCTCTGGCTCGGGCCGGCTGCTCCCGCCGCTCCCAGCAGCGCCTCTGCCCATGCGGTGCAGTTTAAAGGGGGTCCCCCGGGGCTGGCGGGCGCTCGCACCCCGGGCGGGCTCGCATGTCCCCCCACCCCGGGCCGGTGGGGCGTTGCGGTGCGCTGCCGCCTCCGCCGGCACATACCTGATGAGGAAGATGAGGAGCCACTGCAGGGCGGTGGAGAGGGTGTCCTGGCTGGCGCCGAAGATGTCGGTGACGGTGGCGGGCACGTGCTCGAGCTGCAGCCACGGCTGCTCCCGCTGCAGGCGGATGAAGGCGTCCATCATGTCGCGGGGGGCGGCCCCGGGGCGCAGGCTGCGCTGGTGCTGCAGGAACTTGCCGCGGACGAAGCCGTAGAAGTCGCGGTTGAGGTCGCGGAAGGCGCGGTAGGCGGCGCGGACGGGGCTGGGGAAGCGCTGGAGCCAGGGCAGCGCATCCACCAGGCTGCCGGCGCCCACCGCCCGCCCGAACTGCTCGTTGCGCCCCACGATGCGCAGGAACTCGCCGTCGCCGTGGCTGTAGCGGCGGCCGAAGCACAGGGCGCTCATCACGTTGGCCACGGCCACCACCAGGACGCGCGAGGGGTCCAGGAAGGCGCCGCCGGCGCTGCCGCGCACCAGCAGCGCCACCAGCGCCCGCGCCTCGCCCACCAGGTGCCGCTCGAGCAGGCGGCGGGTGGCGGGGCTGCCCGTGGAGAAGGCGCGCACCGTGGCGTGCGCCGCCCGCCGGTGCAGCTTCCAGAGCTCCGAGTATCCGCCGAAGGCCAGGCTGAGCCCGCCCGACACCAGCTGGAAGGACGGGAAGGGCGGGCGGCCCGCGAAGGCGGCCCCCTGCCGGACGAGGGCCTGGCGGATGGCGCGCTCCCCGTTCAGCACCACCACGGGCCAGCGCCCCAGGCGCAGCTGGAACACGGCGCCGTAGGTGCTGGCAAGCCGGGCGAAGGAGAGGTGCGGGGCGCTGCCCAGCTGCGCCGCGTTGCCGATCAGGGGCCAGGGGAAAGGGCCCGGCGGCTCCCGGCGCAGGCCCTGCCGCCGGCGCTGCTGATGCTGCAGGAGGAGCTTGCCCAGGTGGATGGCGGCGAGCAGGCAGAGGAGGAGTAGGAGGGAGCTTTGCAAGGGGGGGATGCCGCGCAGCGCTTCCCCGAGCCTCTCGAGGGCCATGCTGCAAGGCAAAGAGAAAGGTCAGCGGGCAGCGTCCCCGCGGGGTGGGGGGACCTGCAGGTCCCGCGGGCAAGGGGAAGCCCGGGCGGGGCCCGCTGGTGTGGCGGAGGGGAGCCCCGGCACCCGTCCCAGCGCTCGCGCAAGTCCTTGCTATGCGCTCTTCGTGTGCCTAAAGCCCTGTGCGAAAAACAAGGGATAATCGATAATCAAGTGGCAAGCTCCTAATAAGAGATCGAAGTCGTATTTGGCGGGGAAGCCGCTGCTCTCGCCGGTAAGGAAAGTTCTCAGCGACAGATCCAACAGGTCACGGCTGAGAGAGGCGCACAGAAAAGCAGGAGGATGCTCTCGCCTGTCGAGCCTCCGCAGATGCAGGCAATTGCCGTGCGTCGGGGACAGGTTAATTCCGGCGCTGCACATCACTCCCCCCGGCGAAAAAGCCCCTGCGAGAAACGGGTTCCTCGCCCCACTGTCGGAATTTCCCGCTGCTCCGGAGAAACCTCCGCACGCGGCCGCGGAGCCTTCTCCGTCCCGAGCCCTTCCCTCCTCCCCGCACCTTCGGGCCCGTCGCAGCATCGCAGGCTGGCGGTCTGCCGCGCCGGGGATGGGCTGCGGAGGATGCCTGCGGACTCCGCCTGGCAGTGCTGACTGGTCCCGCTTCCCATCCCGAGCCCGGGGACTACCCGCTCCAGCCGTTCAGAAGCAGCGAGAGGATGAAGGGGTGAAAAAGCGGCGGGCTCCTGCAGCAGAACTGACCTGTTGCACGCTGCTTCCATCCGAGACCTTGAGGAGGATGGAGAGGAGCTGTGCAGCCGGCGGCAGCTCTAAAGGACAGCCGCGGCTCCGAGGAGAGCGGCGACGGCGGCGTTCAGATCCAAGCCTTTGGGAAACTCATTAAGAGCCCCGGTACCTGTCACCCGGAGCTTGGCAGGTCATGTGCAGGCAAATGCCAGTTGCGCCCGATCCCAGCGCAGTTATCACCTTCCCTGCTCTTTAACCCTTCGGAGCTCTCCCCAAGGCAGCCACCTGCCCCGAGCAGCTCCGCGGACCGGGAGCGAGCGGGCTGCTGCGCCCCCTCCCTCTCTCTCTCCCTCCCACCCGCCTGCTGGGCTGCGGGGACGGGACGGGGCCAGCCCAGCCCGCCGCAGGGAGCAAAGGCGAGCGGCTCAGAGGGCGCGGAGAGGACGGCCCGCTGCTCGCAGGCTCAGCCGGAGCCGGAGCCGCCACCCCGGGCGCCTGGCATTGCCACTCCCGCCTTTAAACCCGCGGCATCCGCGGTGCGCGGTGCGGTGCGGGCGGGACGCGGACGGCCCCGCTGGCAAATCGCCGCTGCCTGGCCCGTCCTCTGGCTTGAGGGGTCGCAGTTATTTGCCAGCTGCCCTTGGGCCCTCGCCAAGCGGAGCGGCTGAGCCGCGGACGCTTTTATGGCCGGGGCCAAAAGTTTTAGCGGAGGAGGTGCCGGGAGGGGAGAGGGGTGGCGGGCGGGCTCGCAGCTCTCGCTGTCGGGAGGCGAAGTCTCGCCTGCATCTTAGGGGCTGAGGAAGCCGAAGAGCTTCCCCTCCTCCGCCTGTCGCCTCCCCGTTGCGTGCGGAGTTAGCATTGCGTGAGCCGGGGCTGGAAAGCCTCCAGCCATCTCCTTCCCGGGCCCCTACCCCTCCTCGCAATACCTGACACCAGCTCCGGGGAGAATGCGGCTGGGAAGCCCCGGGCAGCTCGCACCCCGGCCGGCTCCGGTGCCCTCCGGTCTCGCCTCCGCCCTGCGCTCGCTGCTCTCCCGCTTACGGCTCCTTTTTATTCTTAAATCTGGCGCCTCCGCCCGCACTGGGAGAGCTGGCGAGAGGCGTGTGGGTACGGCGCTCCGAGCACCCCCGGGCTTTCCGGCGCCCCGGGGGAACTGGGACGGCAAAACCCGCAGAGACGGAGGAAATCCTTCCCCAAGAAAACAGAACGACTTTGCTTTGTTCTTGTCATTTTTGCAGTAACAAGAAAAATATGAAAACGCAACATTTATTTCAGATTCTTTACAGTCACGTCATGAGAAGAAAATTCGATGTTTTGGTAGCGTTGAGGGATTAGACAAAATTAGATGCTGGGAGTCAGCCCAGCTCAGGGTGTAAGCCCGGTCCTGGCCAGGCTGCTACTGCTTCTGTCTTTGGTAAAAAGTGTAATCCTGCATGTTGTCACTGTCCCAGGCTCTTCCAGATGGTGATGCTCCTTCTTGCTCAGACTAGCATCAGCCTCGGATCGTCTGTTGGCTTGGTGCTTGTTCCTGTCATTGCCAAGTAACAGAGGTGTCAAAACCACTTTTTCTGAGCAGTGCTGGGAAAAGTGAGCTTCCCTTTCCCAGCCCCACTTTAGGGTGAACTTGAAGGGTCCTGCACATATACACCAGCCTCAAAAAAAAGCAAAGATAGCTCCATCCCTATGGGACCAAGGTTAGTTCATCACTATTAGAAGATTGAACCCAAATTTCACATGCAATAACCACTCAGCTATGGAAAAGTTGTCACTGCTCCCTCCTTCATCTGTCTTGTGTCAAAGAAGAGACATGGACATTGTCTTCTGGCAAAGTTCCAGAAAAAGATCTGGGTGGCACTGATCTTTTGCCACTGAACAGAAGATCTGTTCCAGGCACTGGATCTGGGTGGTCAGGACTAGCTTGGATCAGTTACCTGAGCTTTATGTTATAATGCTGGGCATTTTTTATTGCCAGCAGGTAAATCTGCCCTTTTCTTGATAACTGTGTTAAAAAGTTGCCTAAACTCCAGGCATTCCAGATCTCATTAGTTAGTCCCCAAACTCCTCATTAGTTAGTCCCTAAACTCTTTCTTTGGATCAACAACTAAATTAGTTGTATTGCAATTGGATTGCTCCTGGCTGCTTGCAGGAAGTACAGAGAAAAGACTACATTTCTACTATCATGGTTTGGAAACTGAAAATTTAAGGCAGGAGCCTAGGAGTTATAAATCCTGGTGCTTTTTTTTTTTAATGCTCTAAGGAAATCTTAATTATTTCTTATTTCACTTCTCTTTGGTCTTCAGGAGTTCTGTCATCATTAGGAAAGAAAGAAAACCTATTTTAGATATTTTCTTCTGGTGTGATAGTAGCATGTTGTCCCCCTGTACTATTTACAGCTTTGGATCCCTATTGCATTTATTACAGTCTTTTGACTGTATACACTGAACATTCACCCAAGTTTTTAGGCTCTGATTCTGTGTGGCTTTGATTAGTCCCTTGGTCTCTGTTGTATTCTACAAATTGCCCTCCTGTCCACCCCTGTGTTTATTCTTCTCACCTATTTTGTTTGTAGAAGCATAGGAGTTCAGAATTGCTCTTAGAGAATGTATGTTCTTTTTTTCCCCATTCTAGGGACTTAATTGAGATGCAGATCTACTTAAACCAGTCCCAGGTTCCTGAGTTGGTTAGTTTTTTTGGGCAATGAAGACTGAATCACTGAAAATACATGCCAAGTAAAAGGAATTATTTCTGAGGTCTAGGAAACCCTATTTTATATAATATATGGTAAAGAAAAGGAGTTCAAGGGCTTGAAGTGAGTTGGTTTGGGATCAAGGGAGAGGAATTCAGATCTAATCTCTTAAAAGTCTCGATTGATTTGATAGGAATGCGAGATGCAGGGTTTATGGGGGATATCAGTACCTCTGTGACTCTGAATAACGTTGCTTAAGTATGTGGATGAGCATCCTTGTTGTGGAGGTAAAAATTTGATAAAGGATGAGGAATTGCACAACCTAGAGAATCTTCATATGCCCTTTGAGAGCGAAATTTTATGTCTGCCATGTTCTTCCTCTTCCAAGAAAACTCCTTAACCCCTAAGAGATTTTTAACACTTTCAATGAGTGTTAAGAATTACTTACCTAAACCAGGTATTGAAGACTCACTTCTTAGTTTTACTTCTAACCAAGGCAGCCCTTGTCTTTGCTTTTGAATACTGGTAAGCTGCTCATAAATCCTCACGAGCATCAGCTGGAATTTCTCATGGACTTGACCTTGCTCTGTTTTCTTTTCTTACCTCTTCCTTTTGCATCTTTCCATGGAGAGCCCTCCCACACTAGATTTCTCTCTTTCCCATGCCTGGGACTATGGGTCTTTTCCTCCTCTCTCTTAATTTTACAAAATCCCAAGGTGGATTAGTTGAGCAATGTTTTATCCTGGGATTGCTTCAGCATAGAGCTTGTACAAATTGTTTACTGTTTGTAGAGTGATCCAAGCCATTTTTTGTTAAACAGACCTTGGCAATGTTGTTTCTGATTGTCTGATTCTGAGTGTTGCACAATACTATATAAGTATGTGCAATATAAGATGAATAAACAAATAGCATAACTGTAAAACACAAATCTCTTGGAAACGTAACCAAGTGCAATATCCTATTGTTTTAGGCTGCTTAAAATTGTACAGATGTACTGACATACCTCTAGTGTTCAGCTCTAGTCTCAAATCACGACAACAGCCAGACTACAATCAGAATAGGAACCTGTACACCTCTGTGTTTGCAACAGCTCACTCAGAGTACATTTATGTGGTGATCCCATGTGATGCAGGATTACAATTATGATTCAAGTAGTTTCAGATCTGGAGCAAAAGATCTGTGTTCAGTCCAGCCACAGCCTCATGGCTGCTGGCTCTGTGGTCACCAGAGTGCACTGAGTGCTCAGTGTTCAAGCCAGCCTGAGACAGCAGCACCACAAGTGTGGATGGTAGCGAGATCATTTCTGATGCAGGCTCTTGGTTTGGCTCAGTTTGTCACATTTCCGGTCATGCCAAGCTTGAGATGTAAGCAAAACAGAAGGAGCCACATCCTCAGTGCTACCCAGAGCGATACATAGGAGCCAGCTGCAGCTCCATAATTCAGGATTATTTATTTAGGCCACTCACTGTGGCCTAAAATAAAGCATTTGTGGTATGCTTTTTAAAACATATGTATTTGTGGTTGCATATCACATTCTTAACCTTCATTAACTTGCAGCTTTCTTTGGACTTTCACTCTTCCCTGCATTCCCACTGACATCCCAGCTCACATTTTCAATTCTGCCTTGCTATTGAAAACTCTAAATTTGGCTTCTAATTCTGAGCCAAATTCCCACAGCTGCTGTGGGAAGGCAAGGAGCCTCCCAGCATTTTCTGGGGCTCAGTTCAGTGGTAGACTGAATTGTAGCCTCTCCATCTGTTTGCATTTTTCACGTTACTTAGAAATTAAAGGCATACATTGTGGTCTGCTTCCACACAGGCAATGCACAGGTATGATTACAGAAATGAGGATATGATGTTATACTTAATTCAAGCATAAAACTTGATTCTGAAACTTCTAATTTTGCCTGATTCCTATAGTATTTCTTTCCAAAGTTTGCTGCCTTTTCTTGACAGTATTAGATGAAACCATACAGCTTAGTCTTTCTTGAGAGGAAAACACAGACTTGATACCTTTGTGGATATCTTTTAAGATGTCTTTTTAAACTGGCTTCTGCTACAAGGCGAAAGAGCAAAATCTAATTTACACACTGTTGGGCCCTCATCCATGGTATTTTCTGTGTGTCTTTTTACTGTCACTATACAAATTCTTTTGAAGTGCTCTGAAAGAAGTAATCTGAAGTAAATGGATTAAATGACATTTAGGAAAGATTAGACACTGCTCAAGGTGAGCATTATTGCATCTGCCCTCAAATGTGATGTGTGGGCAAACCACTGTGCCTGCTCACTGTCCTGCTGCAGCAGCAGGGGTGCTCCCAGGGACATCTGGCACCTCTGCATCCTCACTGGTTTTGAGGTTTGCAGCACCAAGAGCTGTGTTGCCAATGTCCATCTTTTCATTGAAGTATCTAAATCTTATAACCTTTAGGATGTGCTAGGTCACTTCAAAGCTTTAAAATTATAATATTACTAAGGACAAAGCAGTTATAGAAGCAGTTATGTTAACAAGCAGTGATATATTTCTCCTTTGTTTTCCAGACTTTTCTGGGTATTGTATTAGTAGCAGCGATACAAATTTTGTAGTGCAATTGGTTTATTAACTCCAAGATTTCAGTATTTTTCATTTTAGAAAGCGCCAGTGCACATGTATGCTCAGAGTATTGGCAGATGCTTGTTCAAAACAGTCCTGGGCTACAGCTAAAAGCAAAGTCTAATTCCCTCACAGACAGAAGCATATTCTGTAGGAGTGAAGGTTTTGAAGATTTGCCTGTGAAGTTCCAAAAAGTCTTTACTATGGATGTGCAAAACACGGTTTTTTAGAGTTTGGACATTTGTCCAAATTTGAATGAATTATCAAGGGATGACCACAAGGCACAAATCTGGGAAAAAAGACATTTTCCAAACAAATGTCAAGTCCCTGCATTAGAGCATTAGACAAAATTTTTCAAAGAAAATGCCACTTCTTATTTTAAAATGAACACTTTCCTCATTCTCATAAATACATTCAACTGGTTTTGGACAGACCTTTTCTAAAGGTCTGTAAAATATATAAAATATATATTTGCATAGAAAATTTCAGACCAGATTATTAAAGTAAGGTAATATTATAAGTGAAGGAAAACCCAGAGTTTACAGCTAAGGGAACTCTGTGCAAGTAGGCACTTGCAGATGAATGAAGAAACTTGCAGTTCCTTGATGAGAATATGGGTTTTCCCATATTGTTCCCCAAGCCATTGATTATCCCAGCCTATAAATGTTCATCTCACCACTTCCCAACCAATAATTTCTTATGACACAAATATCATTTCCCATGATACAAATATTGGTAATTTGGGTTCTTCAGTTTGTGTTTAGTGTGTGCCATTTTTGGTGCTTGACAGCAGAACAAGTGGTCATGGATATGTTGAAATTTCTTGTACTATTTGGCATGCATTCCATAGCACCTGGAGTAATTTCTTGTCTAGAAAATTGAAAATTTTCTAATGGGAAGTTTTCAGCATTTAAAAACATTGTTATCCTTAGTACTGCTGCTTTCAGGTTTTCAGGTGCTCTGAGAGAGGATGTGGCACTGGGCACAAATTGTTTGTCGAGATGGCAGCTGAACCAAAGAGGAACGCAATAATTTCTCCATCATGAGGACTTTCCCTAGCTTTTAATCATGAAGAGACAGGCCTTTAGCTGGGATTTCCCAAAGGAGGTTCATGTTACGGACCTAATAAATTTCATGTCAGTCAAGGAGTTGCTTGTAAATGTCACCTCTTAGATAGCCCTGCTCAAATGAGTCAGGAAACATGCTCCCCTCCTTCTCCCTTCCACTACTGTAGGTCAATAAAGTGTTGAATAGTATTTGTGAAAAAGCTGCAGAGTGATAGTTCATCCACCAGAAACTGTGGTTATGCTACACTGACTTAATTGAAGTATCCTGTCAGGTGA